TCCCAGCATGCCCCAGTCCAGCCCCACACCCCCGCCTAGCCCCACACCCCCAGTCCAGCCCCACACCCCTGCCTAGCCCAACACCCCCAGTCCAGCCCCACACCTCCAGTCCGTCCCAGCATGCCCCAGTCCAGCCTCACACCCCACCTAGCCCCACACCCCCAGTCCAGCCCCACACCCCCAGTCTGTCCCAGCATGCCCCAGTCCGTCCCAGCATGCCCCAGTCCAGCCCCACACCCCACCTAGCCCCACACCCCCAGTCCAGCCCCACACCCCCAGTCCGGGGGAGGGTTCAAAATGGGCCGTGTGCTGCCTAAGTCAGTCAGAGTAGATAAGAATCAGGTGCTGGTGCCCGAGTCCCTTAGCCCCCCGCGGCCATTCAGCTTCCTCTGGCCTTCGGGCTCGGGTGACCCTGGGGCACTTTTGAAAATGTTCCTCATTATGGGCTGTGCAGCGAGGGAGCTGTGCTGGGCCCTTAGTGTTACCTGGTCTAATGCAGCGTGTTAGCCAGATAGAGATTGGGGGGGGGGGCTAGCTAGCTAGATAGATAGATAGAGGGGGTGTAGGGGGATAGATAGATAGATAGATAGAGGGTGGCTGGGGGTGGAAGGGTCGGGCGGCAGAGGGGTACGGCTGGGGGTGGGTGGGGGTGGAAGGGTCGGGCGGCAGAGGGGTACGGCTGGGGGTGGGTGGGGGTGGAAGGGTCGGGCGGCAGAGGGGTATGGCGTGGGGGTGGAAGGGTTGGGCGGCAGAGGGGTACGGCTGGGGATGGAAGGGTTGGGCGGCAGAGGGGTACGGCTGGGGGTGGGTGGGGGTGGAAGGGTCGGGGGGGCCCCGATAACAGCACTAAGGAGCGCCCCAGCGCCGTCCCCACTCGCTCCCTGCCCCCCGCCTCTCCCAGCCCCACTAACGCAGACGGGGGGAGGGGGAGCGTGCGATTTCTCATTCCAAATCCAATTCCTCTCCACCACGAGGCTATTTTTCTCCCCCCCTTTGAATTCAGTCACTCAAGCTGACAGCTACACTGTGTACGGGAGCCCGGGTACAGGATTGCTGCGCCGGTAAATCTCCCGGCGTGTCAGGCTCCCTTTCACTCTCCCGGCGGGCTGATAAATATTCATTTCATTGGGGCATTTTTCATCTCTTCTCTCTCCCTATCTCTGCAGCTCATTCCCCTCATCGGCTTCATCGGCCTCGGCCTGGGCAGCGCCGCGCTCTACCTGCTCCGCCTGGCCCTCTGTAGCCCCGATGTGAGGTATGGGGCTGGGGCGGGGGGCTCGGGGCAAGGAGCAGCCGAGCTCGCTGGGGCAGGGATGTTTGTACAGCCCCTGGCACTGGAGGGATTTGGTCCGTGGCTCTTTGGCACTACTGCTCTACACCTAATAAATAACCCCAAAGGAGAGGCCCTGGCGTCCGGGGGGTTCCTGCTGGGTTCTAGTCCCAGCTCTGTCGCTTCCCCGCTCCGTGCCTCAGTCTCCCCTCCTGCCCCTTGTCTCTTTTCACTTGTCAGGGTGTTATGTGCCTTGGCGGGGCAGGGCTCAGCTCCCAGCCCAGCAGGGCCCTGCTCTCAGCCGGGGGCCCCTTGGTGCTGCCCTAACACAAAACAGGAAGGTGAGTCGCAAATGGCAGAGGGAAGCCCAGGCAGCGCACCCCCGTTTGGGCCGATCTGGGTCGTGCGCCGGGAGCTCCCCGGGCCATCTCTCGTGCCAAGCAGGGTCAGGCCCCAGGCACAGAGCGGGCTGGACACTCTTGCGTTAGGAGATGTGAGGCCTAGTCATGCCCCCGGACCCGTTGGTGTCCTCTGCCCCCCACAGCTCCCCACACAGCCTCAGTCAGCGCAACAGGGAACCCCCCACCCCCTAGGAATCAGCGTGAGCAGAGGAGTGGATCATACACCGGCAGGAGCCGTCCTTGCAGGGTGTGAGAGAGAAGGGGAAGGAGAGAGATGGATCAGGATGGATGGATGGAGAGGGAATGAGAGCGAGAGAGATGGGTGTGTCTGGGGATAGATAGATAGATAGAGGGGGTGTATGTGGATAGATAGATAGATAGATAGATAGAGGGGGTGTGGGGGATAGATAGATAGATAGATAGAGGGGGTGTAGGGGGATAGATAGATAGATAGATTGATAGATAGATAGATAGATAGAGGGGGTGTAGGGGGTGTCGCGGAGTGTGGGGGAGTCAGGGCCCTGCACCCCTCTTCCCGAGATTCAC